AATGAAAATCCAACCAGAATGAAATTTGTTTTCTTGGCTCAACTTCCACACTGGGGACTGACTCAGACGCTCTGCGGAGGTTCTCTCATTCCAGGCCAACACGATGGGGCTGACTCTGCCGCTTCAGGGTGTGACGGGAGTGGGCACAAATGTCTGCTTTCCTCAGGGACAGATCCAGCTCAACATTCTTGTCTTCAGAGATTTTACACTCCTTTTTATTGAGCGGCTGTCAAAAAAGACATGTCACAGCGCACGCAGGTACTCATCACATACTCAAACCAGCGGAAAGACAGCAGCACTTCAAAGAGATATCTTCAAATTCTGTATTTATGCTACTCACAAAAGGCTGCTCTGGTTGTTGAATGCAGCAAGAACACAGCAGAGAGCAAAGCATAAGTACCACTCTCGAGGACCTGATGGCTCATTTGCAGTTAGACCACAGGCTCCTGTAGCTCACGTCTCCAGAACGTCTCTCGGGGCAACAGAAGAACACGTGAAACTTCCAAGCAGTGCCTCTCCCTTTGCACCACCTTGGCTTCCATGACCCTGCAGCTCCGGACCACCCGAACCAGAGGCACTTTGGCTGCTCCCAAGAGCTCCTGCAGGCACCTCCTTCCATTAACTGTTCTCTGAACCAACAGAAACATTTCAAAACCGAGAGGCCACTAGAGGCCACCAATTTGTCTTTTTACTCCACGGACTGAGCCGGTTTGCAGAGCAACCTGCAGAGCTGGAGAAACGACACAAACGGCTCCCGTCTGCGTTTTCTCTTGAAGGGCCTGTTTCTGTCACTGCAGGAAGGTCTCCCTGGAGTTAAAGGTTGCCACCCACTCAGTGAGGCAAGAATTTGGAATTTAGGCATGTTCAGTCCTTTCTCCTTCCCCTTCTGGCTAGCACATTCCCACTTATTTTCTCCTCTGGGGAGAACAAGAGAGCCTTCGCAGCAAGACTCCACCAAATTATTCTGCTACTTATTGCAGCACAGACCAATGGGTCCTCTCAGAGATGTGTGCTCGGTAAATACACGAAGCTCCAAACAGAAACCTCCTCCAGGGTGTTTCCACCAGCGCATCGTGCCGGGAGAGCTCACAGCTCTCAGACAGGGTCCTTCCTTCTAAAAGCAGCTCAGGCCCACCTGGATCGCGCTCAAAGGGAAGGAAAACGTGGGGCAGGGAGCAAAGTGGAGGCACTCGGTGCGAACGAGCGTTCAAACATAGCGCAAAACGAGGTAAAACCCGTCGTGAGCTTTTAGGTGGCACTCGGGCGGCAAAGCACGCCGCTCCCTGTGCCGCGGCGCTCCCCGCCAGCCCCGCGCTCGAGCCGAGAACCATCCCAGGAAGTGAGAGGAGGACGCGGAGGAGCAGCCGGTGGCGGAGGTCTCGTGGCGGGCAAGCCATGCTGCCCATCCCCTCGGGAAGCAAAGACCTCTCTCCTCGGGAAGCAAAGTCCTCGGCGCTGAGATCTGCTCCCGGCTGACTTAACCGACTCCCAGGGCCATGCTTTGGGAAGGGGGTACAGAAATACGATCGCTCCGTGGGGTTTTTTTGCTGGCTAGTGTGCGTGATCTCAAAAGCCAGCTTTGTCTTCTTACCCATCTGGAGAGAACCACGGCGGCTTACCGGGGGCTGCGGGCTATTCGGAGCACAGGGGGCCAGCACACTGCAACCCATCGATGCCACAAAAAGTTAGTTTTGGAAAGCGTTTAAAAGGAGAACAGCTTTCACACTTCTCGGATCAAACAGCACAACAAATTAAACATACGGTGCAATCAGGTGACTGATAACAGGACAGTTTTATTAGTGTTTCACGTCTGGAGAACGCGGCCATTGAAAGTAAGTTCTGGCCGCGTAGAGGAACACGCTCAGAGAGAGGTAACACGGGCCCCTCCCCACGCAGACCTTTAATACCCTACTTCTGAGTGACAATCCCCAAATATATTAATACAAAGCACAAAAACCGGAAAAGACAGAGTGGATGGATTATTTCTTACCTTCATCTCCTCTTCCATTTCAGAGAGTTTCCGCTCCAGGGCTCGCTTCTCCTGTTTACAAGGATTCATTACAAAGATGGTCACAAGGGCGTAGGAGACGAATTTACAGCACATGTTCTTTTAAAGAAACAGAAGACTCTCCTATTTCTGTAGGAGCATTCACTGAAAAGCACCTCAGAGCAAAGCACAGGTTACAACCAGGAGCTGATCGGACAGGACAGGGCTGGTGAACCAACAGGCAATGCCCGTTGAGTCCCTCCCTTCACACCCCCGCAGTGAAAATATCGCCCACCTTTAGTGACCCCAGAGCTCAGGACTTCCTGATGGGATTTTGCACTCTGCAGGTGAAGCCGTGGATTTAACCGCACCCCAGTAAAGGAGGCACTGAAAAGTACAACGAGCCCATTGAATAAGGAACAAGGAAAGGTGCCTGCAAATCCTGCTTCTCCCACATTAATTTGGGGCTTCAAGTTAATTTGGCAGCCCTTGCCTGGAAGGAGAGACCTGGGCTCCGTAGAATCACAGAATCATAGAATGTGTTGGGCTGGAAGGGACTCTTAAAGGTCACCTAAGGTCATCCATGCAGCGAGCAGGGACACCTTGAACTCGATGAGGTTGCTCGGAGCCCAGTTCAGCCTGACCTTGGATGTCTCCAGGGATGGAGCCTCTACCCCGTCTCTGGGCAACCTGTGCCCTCATTGTAAAGAACTTCCTAATATCTAATCTAAACCTACCCTGCTCTAGTTTAACCCCATGACTTTTCCGCATGGAGGAGCTGAAGCCGCTCCCGGGACACTCTCTGAGCAGGTGGGAACAGCAAACATGGGGCAGGAGCAGGCTCGACGCTCTCTGCCTCTCTCCTTGGCTCTCTGCAAAGGAACCTGAGCCCACGAGAGGGAGGAAAACACAGCTTTTGAGTGCAGCCGTGGATGATGGGTTTTGTTCCAGGCACACTTCATCCAGGGACTCATCCAGTGACAAACGAGTAAGCGGTCCTGGAAGCCGGTCCTGGAAGTTCATGCCACCCTCACTGAGACCAGTCGGGCACTTCTTTTCTCTCTAACTCTCAGAAACCTGTGTTTGTGGCTGGCGTGATCCCAACTCAACAAAAGCGACAGAGGCCATTGCCCCGGCCTGGAAGCAGCCCAGGGGTGGGAGATGGGACACGTGGGGTGAGCTCCCTTGGCCCAGCAGTGACTTTCCGACAGCAGCAGCGCTGTCTCCGATAGCCTGGCTGTGCCTGCTTTACGCACACCTCGGAACCGCGCCCGCACCGACCGACTCCTGGGGAATCTCAGTCGTGGGGCTCACACGGGCGCAGCTCAGCTGAGCTGAGCTCACAGCTTCACCAGCCTTCATAACTTTACCCACCAACACCTGGCAGCGGTACCCAGCGCTGATGTGCTCTGCCTAACTCCGTTCCCATCCATAAAATCACAGAATGGGTTGAGTCGGGAGGAATCTTAAAGCTCACGTAGCTCCAGCCCCCCTGCCATGGGCAGGGACGCCTCCCACCAGACCAGGTTGCTCAAAGTCTTATCCAGCCTGGGCTTGAACACTGATCTTGAACATCACCTCTTCCAGACTACATCCAGCAAATCCTGGGAGGTGTTTACACATAAATAATTAAGGTCTTTCATGGTAGGAACTGAATATAAATGCACAGCTCAACCACCCAGCAAAGCTCCTAAAAATTCAGAAGATGAAACACCTCAGAAGTTTCACTTCAGGTGTCCTTCCAGCACGTAAGGGGGCATTACTGAGAAGTTGGAGCCAGGCTTCAGTTTTAATTAATCCCTGAGGTACATGCATGCTGAGAGAATGAGTGATAATGGCCATGAGTTGAAGCAGGAGAGGTTCTGGCTTGATATAAGGAGAAAAAAAAAAACCAACAACCCACCACAAGGACATTTAAGAACTGGAATAAGGGGTTGCAGCTGTGGGAACTCAACACTCAGAGACCTTCATGAAATGATGGGACAAAGCTTTGAGTAACCCGGCTCCAGTTCAGTGTGTGGATGGACTACAGATCTCCTGGGGTCCCTTCCAACCTGTCCAAAGCTAAGGTCACTAACGGCAGAGATTTAGCCAGACACCGCCTGTTCAGCTGAGCTCCTTCGCTCACTGCAGCAAACCTGACTGCTCAGTCAGAGGAACGAACAGGCAAACGTTTTGATTTCAAGCACAGTCACAAGGTGGACAGGCAGCTAGGGTTTTGCTTTGTCCCCCCTGCCCCCAGTCTCTCTTTATAAGGATCGATAATATTCTAAAGCCCAATGGCCCAACAGTCCCTTAGCAGGACACAACACAACTGGCTGGTCGGCAGCTTCCTATAACGGAGGAGAGAAATCAGAACTAAGCTGATTTGCAAAGAGAGCGGAAAAGCCTCCGACGTCGAAAAGGTCAGAACACAATTATCGCTGTGCACTGCTCCACAAGGCAAAAATGTAACTTATCTTTTAATTAACACTTTCCTTCAAGAAATTACTACGCCCTGCAGAGCCACGCGAGGCAAAGACTGAGACTCAGAAGAAAGCAGACACGTACCCTTTTCTCCATCTCCAGCATGCTGGACCGGTCAGAAGTTTTCTCCTGTTTCTGCTACGTAAATTAAAAATAGAAAGCTATTAAAACCGAGAGGCATTCACAAAGGCCTAGATAGCCTATAGATGCACTCCCCCGGAGAAGAAGCAGAATCACTCACACGTCTTTCTGTGAAAAATAACCACCTCCTCTGCAGCACCGTCCCTCCCAGGCGCGAAACCCTTCCCCGCGCTGGAGCCTGGCAGGGGCTGGTGCTCAGTTTCTCCAGCCTAGGAGCCGTTTTTTTTTGCCTTACCTGGGTCACTTTTTCCAACTTGGATTTGATGTCGGCCAGCTCCAGCTGGGCTTCTTGCAGCTTTGACTTCAGCTTTTGATTTTCAGACAGGGCGCTTTCGTATAACTGCAACAGGGGAGGAAAGAGTTGAATTCACGGGGCTGCTCTTTGGCTCCGAGCAGAGGCAGCTCCACCACGTCCGACCAGCAGAAGCGCAAACAGACCCAGGCTGGACACTTCACTCCAGTTTGTGTCATTCATGTGAAATAAGGAAACAGCTGGTTCATTTTGCAGGGTGCTTAAACACAGCCAAGAGGCTAAGATAAGGGATGTTTTTAATTTAGCTAAGCACCAAGCATAATAAAGTACCGAGAGATGTGGGCTGGATGTATTTGAAAACTACGATTCTGTCTGCTCACCCACACAACTCTCGTGCTTTTAGTTTGAAGAGGAGGAGGAAGGAGGACTGCTTTAGGCCACTCCAAAATGGATTTTTTTCCCTTCACTTCCTTTAAATCAGCAGGATTTCCGTCCCTGTACGAGGACAGAGCGGGCAATGCCGCCTGCTTCTTCCGGGCAGACATGGTCGTGAAGACGAGGGGGAGCTGCTCACTGTGAAGGCTTTTCAGCATCACCCTCATTTCAGAACTAAGGTCCCCTTTATCTCTTTTCATATGGTCTTTGCATTGATACTACACGTACATGACAGTCCGTATTTGTTGAAGGATTATGACAAAAGTGTCAGAGGTTATAGAAAAAATAATTTCGGGTTGTTCTATCAGCAAAAAAAATAATTCTGCGGGGATATGCGCGCTTGAGCCATGCTCAACGGTATCTTTTCTCGCTCTGTTCAAATCCCCCCAACATTTCTCCAGGCTGACTCCTCAATCCCAAGTTTGGATTAGATATTACGAGGAATTTCTCTGCTGAAAGGGTTCTCAGGCATTGGGATGGGTTGCCCAGGGCAGCGGTGGAGTCCCCATCCCTGGAGGAATTTAAGAGTCCCATAGACCCAGCACTCAGGGACACAGTTCAGTCGAGGACTTGTCAGTGTTGGGTTAATGGTTGGACTCGATGATCTTGAAGGTCTTGTCCAACCTTTGCCAATTCTGTGATCCCCCTCCCCACATTTGCCCCGTGTCCTTTCCCCCTTTTGACCCTCTGAAGGGCCGCTGCACCTGAAGCCCCCCTCTGAGGGGCCGCGGCCCCTGAAAAGGGCGGCTGCCGATTCCCCAAAGCAATGCAAACGGAGAAAACAAAAACTATTTCTCTCTGTGCAGGTTTCTAAGCGGCTTCTAAGGTGCAGGCAGCAACTGTAACACATTAGAAAAACTCCTACTTTTTTATAGTCCCTGCTACTCTCCTCTTCTGCCCTGCTGCTGAGGGCGGCCAAGCGGTTCTCCCTCCGGGTGTAGGCACTGGAGCGGCTGGAGGCACGGTCGCTGTAGGAGGACTCGCTGCCGGCAGGGTTCGTCGCTGCTTCCAGCCTGAAAAGCAACAGAGATCCAGCACCGCGGAGCCGCTGGGGCTTCGGGACAGCCATGCTGAGCCCGGCACGTCGGGACCCGAGGCCGTGGCCGAGAGCACCCTCCAGCCCACAGCAGCCACCACCCGTCCAAAGACTGGAGGAAATCCTGGGGGTATCAGCCCAAACCCCAAACGGGCAGGAATTCCCCTCAGATCTTCATGGTGCAAATGGGATCCATTTCTAATAGGGCGCAGAGGTGGGTTTTTTTTTTTCACCTGTGGAGTGGCTGGGTAAAAAGTTAGG